TACCCTGTCGCGACTAAGGTGTAAAACTCTCAAAAAAAAACATTTACACATTTGATTTACAGAAAAGCTCCTATAACATTTGAGGGGAGTTTCAGCTGGGGGTTCAAACATAACATAGTATCTCAGGGGTTGTAATGTTTGCCAGGTTATCTAACTACCCCTCAACAGACAGGGGTAAAGGACAACTTGACGAAACTTCTGCAAGTTACAGCAAACAGGGGTAGTTTGCAGGCACCAAGAGAGCGGGGACAATTGGAGAAGGGGTGGAAAGAGCGCAGCTACAATCTCTGTTAGACATTTGGCATGGCAAAATGTAAGCAGATAGCTCAGGACAACATTGAAATCGCTAAGCAGGCGGTGGAATGTGTCTATTGGCAGAAAATAAAAGCTGATTTTTTTTTATATTTAAAACCGTCGGAAGGGGACAAAGTAAAAGATATTATTTACGTTTAGACTAATTTAAACCCAATTGTGAGCACTTTTTCACTACTGCTGTTAAAACTGACTTTGTGAACGCGATGCTTTCAGACTTTTATGGCTTAGCTTTTCAACAACACCACCTAGCGGTGCAGAGCTTTGGGCTTGGGAGCCTCGATTGCAACTATCGTAAAACGCTCGTTTTATAGCCAAAACTTGCACCATAAAGTGCACCATAATGAAATTTGCACTGAACTACATTAGAGGCTCCTCAGTGGGGGAAATGGAGCACCCTGGTCCGTTCCCACCTGAGCGCCTGAGCAGCTCACTGGGTCAAGACGCTCCCTCGCGCGCTAAGCACATATCTTTCGACAGACCCTTAATTTTCTAGAATTCGCCCGACATTTTCATGGTATTCATGACTCCTCGGATGCTGCCACCCATGCCGAGATGTCCTACAAGTACAACTCTCGCAGGTTGCCGCCGTGCGAGCAGCTCACGTATAAATATTTTACGACGTCCTTCAGTCATTTACTTTTATTGCAATATTTGCTCACTCAACGTTTATGATGATCATTTTAAGCCATTTTTATGGCCAGCTGCTGCCGTCGCTGCTGCCGTCGCTGCTCTGCATGAATCACAGTCGAGCTGGAGCGGAGGGGACATGTGAGTGCCCCGGGTCCCTTTCATTTGTGTGTCTGTCTGCGGGGAGAAGGTCCACCAACGTTGCTAAATATTTGTCTACCTCCAGCTGCCGGCACTTGGCTACTTTGCTGCTTTTTATATAAATGGCAGCTCATTAAATTGCTGGCATCGTTTTCACCAGCCGAGGGGTCAAAAGCGCAAATTGGCCAGGTGTGTGTTTGGGTTTAGGGTGTTGGGTGTTGGGTTTCGAGAGTTGGGAGTATACGTACTTAAAGTATATCAGACGCAAGGATTCTAATTTGCACACAACACCGGTGGCCGGCAACTTCTCACCTCGTTTGAGCTGCTGGCCACGTAATGAGCTGCAACTTTCGCACTTGCACGTGCCTTGTCAGTCCAAAACTATGTCAACGGCCGGACAACGGATTGTAACCAGTAAGGCTCCTGCTCCTGCTCCTGTCTAAGGCCGAAAAGTGTGTTAAAGTTTCCGGGCACTCCACTTAACACACGATTGCTAAGCCCCGAGCACTTTGGTCCTTCCGTTCACTGCGTTCGAAATCTGCTTGATGGGATGGCAAAAGTTGCACTTCATTTGATTTAAATTGATACGATGTCGGCTTGCATTTCATTTGCCAAATGGAAGGACTAAAAAGCGGCTTGAAGCAGCCCCAGTTATAAGTTATAATGGCCTGACCACAAACTCCCACTTGATGTCGACCGAAAGACCTGCTCAAGTGCTTGGCTGGCATTTGAAAGCAACATTTTGTCAACTCAAATTCAATGGAGATTGAAAAGTCACTTTGTGCGGAGTACTTCCGTGTGTGTGTGTGTGTGTGTGGGTGGGGGGTACTTGAGATTACCAAATTACAGTTGCACAACATACGAGGCATACACTTAGGCGCACTTAGGGCCAGAAGTCACTTTGGGGTTATCGATGACTATGACTATCTATGGCTGGCTCACGTGCCGGCGAACTTTTACACTGCCGCCCATTCGGCGGGCACTTTGGCCGAGCGCCTAAAAGGCGGCTGCAGTTTTTGTCTATTACTTTCAGTGCATCCAACTGTCATTTTGTTTGTTTGCCGCGCCGTGGGCGGCTGTGCTCCAGTAAACTTTGCCGAGTCGGCACAAGCAAAAACGCTGGCAAAGTAACACATGATTGGAGATTGCCGTGGTTCGATGGCAAAGCCTGCAAACTTGTGTGAAACTTTAGCAGAGCGAAGTCGGGCTTAGTTTCTAATTCAATTTGTCAGGCAGCTTTGGCCCGGTTACCCGCCCCGAAAGTCCCTGCCAAACTGTCCTCAATAATCCAAAATTGACTAACCAAATAGAAATCACACACAACGGCAAGGGCAATGAAGCGTTTATCCCATGTTATTCAATTGAACATTTGCGAAAAATTAAACACAGTCTGCAGTCCGGTGCACAAACAAATGCAGAATGTGCCCTTCTCTGCACCCCAATACTCCAAATGCCCACTCAAGCCCACCTCCCACCCCGTGGTTTGAGGCAACAACAATTGCAATTGCATGTCCCCCGAACCCGGGGACAAGGGAACACGGACGGGAAACCCCGACGAAACACAGTCCATTGCACACACATCGACATCGACATCGACATTGACAAGTACATGGGCATAATAAAGTCTTGGAATTTATTTTTATGTGCATATAATAGAGGAGTGCGCCCTCATCCCGGCTATCTGGCTATCTGGCTATCTGGCACCCTTCCCCCCAGAGACGCATTTCATCTGGCAGAGCGGAACATTTTATGGGTCCACAAAAAAACACTCACACACACTGCAACGCACCAGGAAACTGAAACGACTCACGTTGTGACCAATGCGTTCTGACCCGGGCCTAGTCCGCCACGAATTTTCGAATTTAGCCAATATTTGCTTAGTCATTTGGAGATTATCCTAATTGAGAATCTCGGCGCTGGGCTGGGAGGGCTGTCGATAAGACTGGCCCCAGATAGATAGATGTGTGTCCCATCCTGGCAGCATCCCGTCAATGAAGCGGAACCATGGAATCGTAGCAATCAAAAGTGTAGGACACTGGGAGAAATGTTTGTGTATCGTTTCGAATCAGAGCAGCATCCAGCATCCAAGGGTCCCCCTCCCCAAGACTGCGAACAAATGAAACTCAAACAAAGTCGGATCTTGACCACTTTCTCCCCCATCTGTCAGTCTCCTGTCACAATTCATTACGAGTCCTCAATGCCGGCCAAAAGAAAACATAAATAGACTTTTTGTTTTAGATTTCGTGACAAATGTACAGAAATGGCCAACCCCAAACCTCTCCGTCCGAGTCGGAATTATCGCTGGAAAGAAAATATTTGCACAGGCGAAAGGTTCGAGGATTCTGGACGGGCGGACAGGACAAGTGTTCGGACATTCGGGTGGCTGGGGCCACGCAGGAAGCCGAATGTCGGGGCTAAAAAGGATTACTTATCGCATATTTTGACATAAGTTAAGTTCATCAGTGAAATACGAGAGTCAATTGTGCGGCTCGGGGGCAGGAAAGGGGAACGGGGGATTAAACCAATGTCCAGACAGACAGCGGGCCAAAAGGCGTGTGATGGGTCAATTGTGATAAGGCGAATGTCCGAATGCCACCCTCGGCTGCTCCTTTGTTCTAGGCCCACTTCTGGCCGGCGTTTATTTGCATTCGCCTTTGTTTGTGTTTGCAGTGAAATCGAGGCAGGACGAACAGGACGAGCAGGACGACTGCAAAATTGGCAAATATCCATCGAACAATTGACAGTTTAGGGGCGGATCCCGGCAAAAAGCCCGACAATTGACGGCCAGCATTCTGGACATATGCAAAGGGGCCAATCCCGGCTCGGGTTATTTACAATGTGAGCGGAAAGTAATGCCCAGATTTCCAGCTGCAGAAACGGATTAAGCTCCGACTTTAGTTGTGGGTCTGTGTGTGCTTTTTGTGTCAATCAACCAAGAAATCAAAGGGTTTTCCTGAAATCCGTTCTTAAAGGCCACGCTAATTTTGATTTCAGAACATTCTGTAATACTCAATACTGTGTTGTTTGATTTATATAGATAAGCGAAACAAAGCCGTCTAATTGGATTGCAGACTCTTTAAGGCCACTGACTGTGTGTATCTTGTAGTTAGCTTCCGGCATCTACGCTGATATCCTGAGGCCGAGCTAGTCCGCCCCGAGCCATTCACAAGTCAAAACCAAACAAAACAAAACACGACCAAGTGCGCGCCAAACAACAGCAACGACTTCGAAGGCAGCCCTGTCTGCTCATCCACAGCCGCGCCTGGTTGTAAAGATATAAAGCCAGACAACTGCAACAGCAACAGCAACAGAAGGAGCGGAAGAGTCGGGCGGAGGACAGGAGGACAGGAGGACAGGCGGTGGCGGTGGCTGTGTCCTGGTCCTCTGGGTTGTCAGCTGCAGCGGCGGCGATTTGTAGCGCCACAAGGATAATCACACTTTTAATCGTGATTTAAATTTATGGCGCTGGGCGCTCGTTTAGTTTCCTGTTACTAGTTACAAGTTCCTGGCTACACGACGATGCATCTCGCAGCGTCTGCCATGCTGTTTGCCACTCCGTTCTCACGACTTCATCGCAGGCGGGAGGAGCTGTCTGTCTGCTTGTTAAGTTTTGCCGCTTTCAGTTTTATATTTTTTAATGATTTTTATTGCATAACTGGCGGCGTCTGCCCGACCTACGGCTCATCCCTGGCCTGCCAGGCAATTGCACTTTGCCACATTTTATGGCCCTCCCGAGGAACGAAGCCAACAATGGCCACTGATGCTGCTGCTCGGGGGCCACAGAAGCGAGGGAGTAGCTTCCCATTTCGGGTTGGCTTTAAGCCGGAGACAGCAGTAATAGATACACTGAACTCAGTGCTGTGGTAATTCAATTCGACTTGGATAATCACGACGAATTTCCACTGATCCGCACTCATTTAGGACCCCTTGGCCTCGACGCCCACTGCACCCACATAAATCTCGGCACCGCACACCTTTTCCAAGCGTAATTTGTTGCTTAACAAACTCTCATTTACCTCTTGCTCGAACGTGGTCCGCTCTCCGGTTCGTTTACCTTTACAAGTTATAAGCACCCACATAAATTTCACTTACTGCCGCCGGACTGGGCGCCAAGTTCGAGCCTCGTTTCCATTGCCTGAGAAGCTGAAGCTGACTCTGAGCTCTGAGCTGTGAGCTGTGAGCTATGAGCACTGAGCACTGAACACTGAGCACTTTTTGTGAGATGTAATTAGAAGGAAAGCCCGGCAACTAGCCAACTTGAGGAGATGCCGTCGGGATGGAGGGGGGGTGGCCCACTTGAAATGCAAATTGCGTGCAAATTATGGCAAGCTGGCATCCAACCGAGCAGGTGAACAAGTTGCCCCTCGTCCGCTGCTCTCCTGATTCATTGCGAGGGGGCAGGAAAAGGAAATATTACTTGCGAGTTCCGGGGAGTTGTGTTTTTAATTGCCGGAGTTCTAATTCAATTTGCGGCCATGCATTTTATGCATCCTCTTCTTTGGAAGCTCCCTAATTTCAATATTTCGTAAAAAAAACCTTTTGAAATCGACAAACCGCAGGATGTCTTATAATAGTATGGTTCACTATTCAGTAAGTGCAAGTTCGATAAATATTATTTAAAACGATGTAATAAATAAATAGTTATAATAGCATTCAATCCCATCAGGAAAAGAGTAAATCAGTCTTCTTACAGATTAGGTTATTTGTAAAACTTTCTAACCCTGTTTTAATAATGTAGTAACGGATATACTTAACCGATATATTAAAGCCTCTTCTCATTTGTTTTTATTTGAATAAACACTTGAATTTCCTCTGCTGATATATATAATATAGAACTGTCTTTATCACAGCTTGATTAAGTTATAAAATCGATCTTGAAGAGCACTACTTACCGTTGTTATGAGTTAGGAAGGCGTTTTCCGCTTCCGAAGAGGATGATCCCTGGTTGTCATTGTTGGCGTTGGAGGAGGATGATGAGTTGGAGAAGTCGTAGGGATGAGTCAGACTATTGCTGCCGGCAGCGGAGGCAGCCAACGCCTTGAACAGGTGGGCGGTGCGCTGTTGCGTCTGCTGCAGCTGTTGCTGTTGCTGCTGCTGCTGCTGCTGTTGCTGCTGCTGTTGCTGCTGTTGCTGTTGCTGCTGCTGCGGAATATAGGGATTATTGTAGATGTTGCGACTGTCATTCGATGGCTGCAGGTTGTATTGGTTCTGCTGCTGCTGAAGCGTGTTATTGGCACTCAGAAGACCGTTGACCGTGAAATGCCGGGATTTGGCTGAAAGAATAAGATGGAGCGGATGGAACAGCGTTAAAATGGGAACTTGTAATGGATGTGGAAGGGGAGCGTAACTTTTTTCCATGTCACGGCAGTTGCTACTTTCCCTGCTAAGCGACGCCACCTCCTTGAGCCTAATTGCATGCATTGAAATATGCAAATGAAGACCAGGGTGTGCGAGTGTGCGAGTGTGCTTGCTTCAATTAAAGCATTTTCACTGCCAGCGCGGAAAGGTTTGAGGTTTTCACTTTTGCTCCGCTCATCGCTGTCGCCTATTGTTGCTTTTCTCATATGAATTATGCATGGCAACAACAATAAAAACAACAACAACAGCTCCCCTGTTATTGCTGTTTTGTGGAAATAATGTTGACGCGGAAGCTGTGATAATGAAGCGGCCAAAAGCAAAGTGTCGCCTCGGCCTAAGCCCTCCCCGCCGCTGCCCACAAAAAAAAAAATGATGCTAACCCTTTCAATTTTCCACAAGCAGGCCGCTCGGAAAAGTTGCTCCTTGCGGCTGCCGCAGTTGTTGTTGCTGCTCTTTGCATATTAATTATGCATGTTTTGGTTGGTGTGAAGGCATCAACACATTGTTTGAATTTTAAGCAACACAAGCGACAAAATTAGGGGTAAACTGCGTATGGAGAGGGGATGGTTTTTGGGTTTGGCCTCCTTTCGGGCTGTTCGCCTGGCATTCACACTGATTTGTTCGGCTTTTGGTAGCCAACTGTGTAAATATGAAGTGCAAAAGATAACGAGCTAATAACTCTGTTAATTTTGGCCTTGACGCATGTGCTCTTTTGTGTGCGGAATGAGTGAAGAGCAAGTTACTACTACATATCCGAATTTTAAATTAAAAGTAATAATTTAGTCCTGAATATTTGGCAAGCTGCGTCGAAATATAATTGCCTTTCTGAAATATTTTTGGTTAGCGCGACAACATATAGCAATAATTTAATACAAATTCACTTTCAATTTTGTCATGTTTGTGGAATATCAAAATTGCGAGAAGAAACAAATTACACAAAATTTGTTGTTTTTGAGAGACTCATGCATAAAGTCACGTGATATTTACTCTTCTATAACCTATAGTGTCCAGTAATAATTTTTATCCACATACTCAATAAATTAAACCAATTAATTTAATATTGAATATCCTGCAAGTTTGGAACACAAATGTTAAATTTTATTGTGATTTACATTTACACCTTCTACTATTTCTAACCACAAAATCAAACCAATCTATGGCATTTACTACATTTTTATGCCTCAATCAATTGACGAAAGCTGAACAATTACCCTCTCGGTATTCATAGCAAACATGGTGGGCTTTAAAGGTCAGTTCCACTTGCTCGTAACGAAGCCATCAATGTCTATTTCCTGGAGATAACAATTCGGGGGGCAGCACGCGTCGCGGTTTAAAAAGCAATGTCAATAAATTTTCACTAGAACGAATTTATTGGTAAATCCCCGCCGTAGGCGGCTTTATGACACCAGGCCAGGCCAACTGGAATCAACTCGTTGAGGCCGGGGCAAATCTGCGTCTGCGACGCGTCTAAATGTCAATAAAAAACACATTCGGCTACCCAACGATTTCCGATGGGAAGGGTGGGGAAATTTGCCTCGTTTAGCGAGGGAATAATGACACAAAATCGCATAATTCGACGAGGCAGAAAGGGTTCCAATGGTTCCAAGGGTTCCAAGGGTTCGAGGGTCGAAGACGAGGCCCACAACAAAGGGGCCAAATTGGCGCCCCAGTGAAAGTCAGGGAGCAGCGTCCAAATGGCCTGATTTAGTAGACGCTTGGGGCTCCAACTCCGCAGAGGCTGCAAAGTATTGGCAACAACAAAGGAATAAAGCATTTGCGTCTCCATGTGGCGAAGGAAAACTAGCGACAGCAAACACAACAGAAAGTGTAAAAATTGTGTGGCAATAAAATTTGCGTAAATAGTCCAATTTGCATTGAATGTTGCCCTTATTTATGACGCTATGGAGCAATCAGGCCATCCTGGAAGTTGGCGGCCATTGGGGATGTGCTGCTAGTGGGTGCCCGGCTTTTGTTGATGGGCTGTTGTTGTTTGTTGCCCTGCCAGCGAAGTGTAAATTTGCCAAATTTTGTTAAAAGCAAAATAAATAAAAAGCGTATATATACGGGCAATGGCTGGAAATGAAAATGGCAATGGAAATGGGCCTGTATTTTTCAGGATTATCAACGGAACATTTTCAAACACAAATGGGGCACAACTTAAAGGACGAGTGGTGTGTGTGTGTGTGTGTGTGTGTGTGTGTGTGCTGGAAACTTCAAGTTTAGTCGGATACTGGGGATGAGCTGCCACGGGGGATTATGTAATCTTGCGCAATCCACGTAATTAATTCACGAACCAATCAATCCGCAAGCGAAGCTCCCTTTGTTTCGCCACAAACTTTGGCCAGACGAAAGCACTCGAAACTTTTCACTCACAATGCCCCCAATCAGGTCTCCACCAACAACAACTGGAACAATTAACAATCGATGCAGCCAATTAACAATTAACAGGCAGCCCGAAATGGAAGCCAAAGAAAGTTGCTGGGGGAAAACTTTGTAAAAAACAAAGCCCTGCGAGGGCGCAACTTTTTAAACCGATTAACCCATGCTCAAAATAAATAAATGCCAAATTTCGTATAAATATTTGAAGTCCTTCAAAATAAATTCCAAGGACAGTCGCATCGATTGATCCTCATCAACAATTCATGACGGACTGATGGCTCCATTTGGCATTCACACGCACGGCTCAATTGGGAAAACTAATAATAGTCACACTTCCTAAATTGTTTTCAATTGGACATTCAAATTGCTGCAATTATGGTACACAATATGTGGTGGGTGGGCGAGAATGAATCATTGAATCGCAGTTCTTTAAGTTCCTCGCCACTTGGGTATACTTTCCAAACTAAGCGCATTAAAATCGCTGGAGGATTGGCTCTGATCCCCGAAACACTTGAACAGATGTCCTGGCATTTGAAATTCACAAAACTAAAAGCAACTGGGGAAGTGCGAATGCGAATGTGAGTGCCGCTGACTCATCCGCTTGGGCAAAGACAAGGCTGGGGCACAAGCACCTTGTTGTCCTGGCTGCTGGCAGTGAAGCTGCCAATGACAGTTGGCCGTTGTCACCGCCACCCCGAGGAAATCCGCACAGCTGAGCGAAGACGGCGTAGAAGTCATCCGCCTGAATAATTCCGACCGGGATTAGAGGTGAGAGAGAGGTAGAAGTCCGCTGACCTCTAATGCATGTTTGCCATTTACATAACCTTCCTCGGAGGGGGGATGGGTTGGCCTTGGCACGGCGAGGGGTGGCTACCACTTGACTCGCACCAGTCCAAAAGCCCAAAAGCCCAAAAACCCGAATACCCGACCAAACCAAATATCAATTACATCCAAGCAATCCGAACAACACGGCCAGAGGACCGGAGATGACACAACAAGCAAATTAATTGAAATCAATGCAAATGCCCTGAGCAGGACCTTCCTGCAGGAACTCGCAGGACGTCGCAGGACTCAAGGGTTGCTGCACCCCGCCCTCGGAATGGGTTTTCTCCCATTTCTATAGGCAATCGCATTTGTCGCCGGCTTAAGTCGCGCCCCGCTCGCCATTGTTGTCAAACATGTCAAAGCAATTGCAAACATTTGGGCTGCCTTTCATTTATTAGCGCGAGTTGAATCAGTTTTATTTTTCACTCGTTCGCCTGATCTATGGATTCGATTTCGCGGTTTGCTGAGCATCGGCAGCGGACAGATAACGCTCCGATAAGTAGAGTCCTGCTCGCCAGCGGCCTTTCTGTCCTTTCTGTGCGATAAGTAACCCATTTGGTCGGCGGCCTTTGTGCAATATGTCAGCGTGCTGCTGCGGCTTCTGTGGCCATTCAATGGCTCTACGGGGCAGATTGCTTCGGTCGGGTCCTTGAACATATGCCACAATTAACTTTGCCGCTTTAAATAAAAGGAACATGCAAACTTTCCAAGAAATTCGTGGTCGCTAGTAAATGCTCTCGAAAAAAACTAATTGGTTTATACGCTGATTACTCCAATCGATTTTTTTTCATTACAATTCATTAATGTGTTAAGAAACTGGGATGGGTTTAAATAGATTTGTGATAGTAAATAGGTTTATTGCTCTTTAAAAATCCAAAAAAAAAGGATCGGATTTAAAATTTTGTTTGTGTTTTCGTCGTGTAAATAATACAATTTATACAAACTTTTCACTTTCCAAAAGTTTAAACATCTGTTGAGCTATAAAGTCTTACATGAATGTGCTAAAAAACTGTTTATTGGCTACAATTTTGTAACGATTTTGTCAACGCAAAGTTATTATCCATTTAAAACAGGGTTGTGGCACTATGCAGTTGGATTACTCCGAACTGGAGTGGTTCAGATTTAATTTTAAGATGAAACGAATCATTAACCCGAGTACTTCTTTATTTTGTAAATAAACCGGAACGGAACCGGAACCGAACCTGTACCTTTTATTTCTTAATCGGGTTCGGTTAAAGATAAAAATATAATGTTTTTTAATGTTTTAATGTTTTTTTTAGGTAAAAAGAGCATCAGACATAAGTAGCTGCTGAGACGCGTCTTCAACTCCTAATTCCTAAAAATGTTGCTAATTCGAAACATAAAAATATCTTTTGATTGAAACTATCTTTAAAGTAACGGGACTTTGTCAAAAATTCATAAATATTTATATTAAGTGAAATTTAAGTTTGAGATAGACTCCCCAAACTTTTTTGATTAAGAATATATTAACATTATTTATCTTATTTATCTTACTCTCTTCAAAGGTTAAAAATTAGGGAACAGGATATTTTAAACATATTTTGTTATGTGTATGGGAACAATTTTGAAAAGATACCACAAAATATATAAATTTGTATAAAGTTCATTGTGCACCACCAATACCCGAATTGAGAAAACATTGTTGTGTTTGTGCCACATCATTTGAAACCTTGCCTGCGGCCGCCTCACC